TGGAGACTTTCAAAGCAGAATTGCCGGGGAAAAAGTTTGTTGAGGCAGGGAAACTATTTGAGAATTATGCATTGGCTGTTCTTTAAGGTCAGTTAATTAGTCAGGCACTGCAGTATAATGGATCAGCCTGAGCCTTAGGATCACTGGTACGATCAAATAGTGGATGCTGGCTGGTTGTGAAAATCGTAGGCCACCAGGTGCGCAGCTCCGACTGATAAAAATGTAGTTTTGTTCGTGGAGGTCAGTGAGTTAAGAAAAAACCTGTTTGCATCAACTCGTGACCACATTAAGCATTCTCCTCCACCTATCGACCGAATGCACCGTAAAACGTCGGTGAGATACGAGGCCGCTCCTGGAATTGGTGAACGGAAAAACGGTCGGGGAACTAGCACTTCTTTCACTTCCGGTATTATGAACAGAAGGTGTGGTTGGTGGGATGGGGGTGAGAGAAGAGGTTTCCAAATTTGACAATGCGACGGCAGAACGACGGCACGCTTGAGACGGTCCATACTTACAACCCTTTTTCTGATGCTGTCACTGAAGATGGGTTCGAGCTTGAATCCGAAGCCTCAGGCGAAGAAAGTTCTTGTCACAGCGATCGCGACTACTTCTTCTGAATTACTTCCTGGGACTCAAATTAACGCCTTATGGGCAGTCAAATCTTGCCTATTCATTTTGTCTGATTACATGTCGGTATCACAAAAAGGGAAAGGGGAGAAGTTTTCTCTTTTATATACGGTCATATGTCATGCACTCGCGTTTCCGGATTCGCGAATTTTTTATTGGGACCTAGTTAAGTTATTTACGCGATTTATTCACAAATCTGCAGAATTTTCGAAGTCCTCGAAAAAGCCTCCAAGGGTGCTTATCGTTCATTTTTGAAAGAAGTTATCAGTGTTCAGGCTTTCAAATCATTCTCCTGTTCTTTTTATTATTAAAGAGGTTTTATGTACAAATGTAGTTTTCTTCTCTTTTCCCTTTTCCGGTACTTAGCGTGCACACTTTTTTTCCACCTAAATATTTCTCCAGAGGTCGTTACATAATTTTAATTTGATTGAATGCCAGTGACCTCTACATACCCATCATATATGTTTTGTTTATTGTCTTGTACATTCGTTATGTGACTTCTGTAGCATAGTAAGTCTACTTCACCCAACTGTGAAAAACGTGGTGGCTTCGATGAGATTAGAATTCATGTCAGCATAGTAAACTTTTATTACAGCCAACGCTGTAGACACGTAAGTTATCAGGCGCCTACGTAACTTATTTTTCTGATGATGATAAAGAAACTTCGATCAATAAGTTTACATTCCCAGTAATTACTGGGTTTTACCTTAATGTGAGCCCAAAAACAGCAGCCAGATGAATTAATGTTGGGGTAA